GTTCACTATAAGTATGTCTCACTTGCTGCTTTCTGCCTGCTTCATAGTGGCCAGGCCCAAATTAATTGTCAAGCGTTCTTCTGCAGTGGGCATTTGATGATTCTGCCACCCTCGACTAGCCCTGCTGCTAGTGGTGATGTTCCTGAGGATGCACTTACTGACTCCCTATTGCATGCCACCTTGGGAAGGCTGAAAAGCAATGCTTCTGGTTCAAGAACAAGCACAGCCCCCTGGCTAGGCCAAAGGGATCTGCTATGCCAGATTCAAGGACGGAGGTTGGCTCCTTTCTCCAGACACCTAGAATTGCTCTGGCCATACTCAATCCCGTCCTCCTGATTTTCTTGTAATTTCTTAAGGCCTCCTGGAATGTTGGTTTGTCTATCCACAGTAGTCCAGGGAAATACAAACCTAAGTAACAGCTAACACGCATAACAGACTCTAGCTTAATAAAGTACGTTTGCCTTCATGCTGCCTCCTTTCATAAACCTTTCTGGGACTGATTTTTTTTTCTTTCACCCACAAATGAATCACTTATGGATTTCTCCATTTCTCATAAGAGCACAATCCTCCTTTCAGTCTTCTAAGCTTTTCTAAATCTCAGGGTGATTTTGACCCTGTGCTCCCGCCAGCCATATTATCAGTCACCTGACCCTAAATCTGGAGCCTCCTCGATAGATCCCTTGCTTCTTATATTCCATAAACACCCTTCACCTCTTTGCAGCCATATCCTGCTGATTCTGCCACCAACGCTCCCACCCCCAGTCTGCCATCCTAGAAGGATAGACGTACGTTCTTTACCACCATGGAGCCATTCTTCTGAGATAATGAAGCAGGGGGCAATTCTCAACTTCCACGCTGAGTGCGCCATAACTACGCAAGCTCTATGTTTCTGTTTCATGAGTTAGTCCTCAGCAGAATGTTCCTTCTAGAAGCAAGTATACTCACATGTCTCAGATTTACTCTTCAAAAAGCTATGTTTTTTTAAAAAATCCTTTCCCAGCTCAGGTGTTGTCTTTCTAAACCCCTCAAATCTGGGGTGAACTTTGAACTTGATAGGCCAGTGGGAGAGTAGCAACCACAACATGAGCAGATACTCAGCACCTGTTTCTGCACTGGTGGCTGCTCAACTACTCCCTTCACCGCTCCCTGAAGATGGTTTGGGTACTGTGTAAAAAAAGGGAGGTTCATGTCCCAGTTCACCCATGCATTTTGGTTGACAAGTAGTCAAGACGATCCAAGATCAAAGGTCATCCTCCCAGCTGACTAATAGTATCATCTTCAGGAGCCCTAATTGGATTAGCAGAACCTAGGCCAAACTGCTGACCAACAGAACCATGAACATTAGTAGGTGTTTTAGCGACTAAATTATGGAGTCGATGGGTAACTGATATGTTTAATTTCCTCATAGTCCTTCACAGTTATTATTTAGTTCCTGAGCTCTCAATTCTAACATGTCTTCTTTCATGTTCTGCATCATTATTTAAAATTTTAGGTATCCTATTCTCTTGCTTTTAATTTTCTTATGAGAAAAACTCACGCACATGTGTGTGTGATTTATTTTTTTGTTTTCGTTATGTGCATATGTCTCTGTGAATGGGTGCCATGTGTATGCAAATGCTGGCGGAGGCCAGTAGGGGGCGCTGAATACTTGGGAGTTGGAGTTAAATTGTGAGCCACCTGGAAAGGGTGCTGAGAATAGCACTCAGTGCCCTTAACCCCTGAACCATCTCTCTGACCCGTTTATAATTTTATATTCTACACATACCCAAAATGAATATACAATAACTGTTTAAGAGTCAACTAGAACCTTTGCAGGGCCCAGGCATCAATGAACAATCTTTCTTTTTGGTTATTAATTTTATTTATGGTTCTGATTATTTTTCTTGAATCGAGTTCTGATTTTGAAGCTCTAGCTAGCATAGAAATCACTATGTATCGCAGGTGACCTTTGACCTTGTAGTTATCCTCCTGCCCCCTACCTCTCAAGTGTTGGAATTACAAGTTAAATGTCACTATGTCCACCTATGATCATTACTTTCGAAGGCTTAATAAAAGAATTAAGTTTCCAACCATAAAATATAAAGTCTATTATTGTATTGGAAAAGAATGCATAGTATATATCTAAGAAACAAAATTAGGTATTCATTTCAGGAATTTTTTACTTTGCAAGTAAATTTACATATCAAAAAGCAAAAGTAAACAAGTGTATGCAGGTTCACATTGCACAGAAACAGTTGTTTGATTTTCCCCGTACATTATCTGTCTCTGAAGACACATATTTCTCCTATGGGATTCGCATCTGTAACCTGAAAGATTGCCAGACTCTAGGCTTTTACTCTAAGAGTGTCACTGATCCTCATGTGGCTCTTCAATTAAGATTTTGCATTTAAAAGAGAAAGTCCCTTGTGTTGTTCCTAATGATGCACCTGCTACTTGGGAGATTTCTTCTTCTCGTAAGAAACAACTTAAATCTGGCAAGACACATGGCTCCAGGCTTTCTCTGATAATATCAAAGAGCATTTGTAGGTTTTAGATGTTTTTGTGGGTTTCCCTCCTCCCGGGCGCAGTGAAGTCCCTCCAAGTCCTCCCAAAACAACAGTGCTCGCGGATTTTTTTGGCTTCCACTCTCTGTTTCCACTGTACACCTGCACTGCACAGCTGTCTGGACTCAGCAGAGCTGTGACACGGCACAGAAAAATCCACTCGCTTCAGCCACTTCCTTTCAGATGTGGACAAGCAGGGCGCATCACATTAACAAATGCAGTACCGTTTCGGATCATTCAAACCTTGTAAAAGCTCTTCATGAAACGCTTTGGGACAATAATGCTTACGTTCGAACGGATAAAAGCTCTCATGCAAGCCTCCGTTTTTAATCAATTACTGCCATTAATGGTGTTCTATGACCCTTCAGAAAAGCACGATCATCATCTCTCCTGATTCTAGACCTAAGAGTGCATGTGCATTTGATTACGGTTGATCCTCAGCGAACACTCCCTTAGAAAGAGACTTCTGTGATCATTCCCCCAAATGTCACACATTCTTCTATTAGTCGTAAGGACAGTTTACAGGTGTCTCCGGGCACTTGGCTATGCAGAAAGTAATTTAATATCACGGCACATCAGAATCAGCCAATAGACATTGCCTCCCAGGTGTGTACGCATTAGCATACTGCCTTCCCACATCTCGCTCTCTTGACTTTTAAATTTTTCAATATGTACAAATGAGATACAGGTTTGAATCTATTCCCGACTGAGATGTCTGCTTCATAATGAGAAATAGGTTTTCTGCCTGTTTGCAGATTCAGCACCAAAAGGATGCCTGACCATAATGTGTTTAGAGCTGACACCTTGGAGAACTGACATCTGCACAACTGTAATCCTCGTAAACCTCCCCAGATAGCCCTTATTTAATTTTGCAAACTGTACCCTGGCAGGGCTCCACAGCATGTTTGTGTGTGGCGAGACTATCCTGCAGTGGCGGTTCTTTCTTCTTAGGGGCTCTTTGATGGACACTTGTCAGTAACAACCCAGAGGAGTGGGGCCCCACCTCCAGCAAGTGAAAAAACAGGGCAGGGATAGCAATGCTTCCTTAATTAACTTTCCCAAGGAAAGCAATGTTCCCACAGGAAAAAACAACACGTTTCCACCCTCCTAGCGGCCCATTGGAAATGAGCAACAATGCAGTTGCCTTTTTGTCTCCTGAAGACTTTCTTTGCTGCAAGCAGTAGCGTGTTCCTCAAAGAATGCTAGTATTTCCTGTGGAAACTGTATGGCTGCCAGAACTGGCTCGGAATATTCCCCCTTTTCTTTTCGTAAAAATGAAATAAACAAAACGTGGCATTTGACAATAGCCAACACTGGCTTCATCCCCACTTACCACCTGCAGACGAAAGTCACCGCCACGGAGAGGGTCGGGAAAGAAACCTTCCCTAGGACATGGACAAGCCCGGGACTCCGGACAGCGCCGGGAGGAGGAGCCGAGGCTGGACGGGGCAGCCTGGGTGCCGGGGGCTGATGGGCCGGGGTCTCCCCTCGGGCAGCGACACAACCCGGAATCCCCTTCACGTTTGTTATTGTTCTAGTTACTAGTGTGGCGATCACTATGCCTTCGCTCCTCCTTGAGAGCTCCTAGGAGCCTTGGCACAGCCCATCCCCGCCTCCGGGACCATCGGAGGTAGCCGCAAGCATAACGCCGGCGCAAGGGCCAATGAAAAGAACAATCCCCTGCACGGGAGCCAAGGACTGCGAGGCGGGAGCGACTTGGGTCCCCCGGGGTGAAGGCGTCTGGGTGACCCCAGCGAATCTACCCCAGTGACTTTCAGCAGCTGCACTGCGCGGCCCGGGGCAGAAAGGACCCGAGGCACAAAGGGGGCCCCGGGACCGTGGAACCCTCAGGGTATCGCCTGGGTGCAAAGTTGCACAGGCTCATCCGCCGCTGCCCGCGTCCCTCTCCTCCCCGCAGCGCCCGCGGGGGACCTGGACTCACCGGAGCACGGAAGGACGGCGGGAAGGATGGACGGACAGACGGCGAGAGCGGCGGGCGCAGGAGACCCGGCGGGCGGCGGAGGCGCTGCCGCGGCCCCGCTACGTCACAATGCGGCCGGGCGGCCGGCGCCGCTCCCCGGGCCCCCCAACGGGCGCGCGCGGGCGGGGACACCCGGGGCGGCGGGGCGCCGAGCCCAGGGACGCGACCACTACGCGGGGCCGCCCGCCCGCCTGACAGTGACTGTCCCTCTGTGTCCCGGCCCGGCCCACGCCCCTCTCCAGCAGCCGCCTTCCCGGGTGTCCCCAGCCGGCGAACCTGCTGCCTCTGCTTACCTCGCGCGTTCACCTCCGCTGCCTTGGCTCTTCTTCGCAGCCTCTCTCCTCTCGTCCCCTCCTACTTTTGGCCCCCTCTTTCCACTTTCTCCCCCGCCTCCCCTCTGGCTTCGCTGTCCCCCCCCCCCTCCAGCCCCCGCTTCCCCCCTCTCTTTCTTCCTTGGAAATGAAATCTCCCCTCACCGCGATCCATGAATCAACCGCTGCCACCTCATTGGTCCCCAAACCATTCCAAGGTTCCAGGGTAAAACCGGGAATAGACACTCTCGAAAAAAGGAAGGTGGCCGTGGTCCTGGGAAACTGTTGTGTCTGACAAGCGTTTTGGCAGAGTGTTGTGCCTTGGCACAGCGTCTTCAACCCCAATCTTCCCCTCTCCAAGTCTCGCCCACCCTGGAGGACTTAACCAAGGAGTAAAGGGGCAGGGCTGGGGGCGTTTTACCCAGAATGTTCTGTGCTCCTGAGGGGGTGGTGCTAGAGATTTTGGTCTGAAATGACAGTTAATCCAGCGGTGTTCCAATGTACCCAGGACGCTGTGATAACAGTAACTTTACTCTTAACATCCCTTAAGGTGGGGGCAGCAGGGACTCCGCTAGATGAGGCATCAGAGGTGCTGGCAGCGGTGGGTGCCTGCCTCTTTCCTATTTCCTAAACAAAATCCAGGGAGAGTGGGAGCCTTGATAACAACATTGGCTCTCTGTTGCTCCTTGGAAACCTTTAAACGGTTTTGGACAGATCTCTGTTTCAGGCGGGGGACAAGATTTGGAGACTGTCTGAGCAAAGCCATTGATGACTACGCTCTTGTTCCAGGATATAAGCTGCATGCTTGAGTTTGTCCTGAGGAACGTGTGAGGGAGTAAGCGGCTGGTCAATTTAGGGTCATCTTGGGCCCCTATCAGCCAGTTCTAGAGGATGGGAGTGACTCTGAGATCCAGGGAAACCCAGCAGCACCTGGGTGCTAGGAACGGAATATGTGCCAGGGTATCTGTCACTGGAATAGACTACTAGAAAGAAGGAAGGGCCTGGCTGGTTAAACGCTGGTACCCTGAGTAATTGAGTGACTGCTGGGATCCATAAGGCGACTCTTTTTTTGGGGATCACAAGAGCAATCCTTGTCCTGCACCCAGCTGGAATCCTGCCGGGAAATGCTACCACAAATGAAGGCCACCTCCAGAAATGACAGCCTCGAGTGGTAGCCGAAGACAGCTCCTGTCCTTTCATTCCATTTCCTACTCAAAGACCACATTTCTTCCCTAGGTTTTCACCCAACATGTCACGGAGTTCTGCCATGTGTTTATCTGTAACTTATCACGTATAAGTACACGCATGGAGCGTGGCTTCACAGTTTTAAAAATGCATGTTTTCCCTGGGTAGAAAATATGAAATCAGATGATATCATATGCCACTAAAAATACTTTAAAAATATTGGGTTTAATTTTCTCACATCTGTTTAAAATAAAACGTCTTTTTTTTCCCTGGTGTGAAGTCTGAGAAGAACACATCTCTCTCTCTCCAGCAGATATGGGTGGGGTTAGTGGTTTTTTTCTGACTTGGTGGTATACAGGGTACAAATGCTTGCTGATTCCTGCCCTCCTGAATTCGCTGAATCCCTTTCTTGAAAAAAAATCAGATTTGAATTTATTAAAATCAATTATTAGACTTATAAGTAGATGTCTCTTCCATTTGCCCCAAACATCCTATAATTCTAGCATTGAGCCAGATGTTTACATGAGTCAATAAGGAGAGGCTGGATTTTGTTGTATTACAGAAAGTGGATTGCCTGGGGAAAAGAGGTTTTCCTGGCCACAGCAGCCAGCATGCCACAGTGAAAGGCAGAAACCTTTGTGATGTGTCTTCGGCTATTTACCCTACTTTTTTTTTTCAAAGTTCTTTTGTTACTTTTTTTTTTTCTGCTCCCAACATGTTTTTGATTACATACTCACCATTGTTTCCATGTGATTATTTTTACGCTGTGATTTAAATCTAGGCTTGTATACACTTTCCCACATAGACTGTGTGTTTGCTTTTGTTTGGACTGTTTGTTGGTTTGCTTCTCCTATACAAACCCTTGCCAAATCCAAACCACAAATTGATCCACCAAAGTGTGGCAGTAATGAAGTAGTTCAGTTCAAACAGCTGCTAGATTTTAGATTGGATGGCAGGAATGCTGGCTTCCTCGGCATAGTGTTGACTTCTTCCCCCTCAAAACTAACCAGCTGATGCTAAGTTTTTCTAACTGCTCGTTAGTAACATCCAGTCTCTGACAGTCAGTCAGTGTCCTAAGGACCGTCTGCTGTGTGTCGAACCGCGAGTGCCTCATTAAACCACAGTCCACAGACCATTTACCCCTCTTAACTTGCCCTCTACCTGGGCCTGCCGTGGCACTGGGTGTGCTCCACTTCGTGCTCATGTATTTTTGCTTCTCATGTGTTTCTTAGCCCTGCCATTCGGTTGTCACTTCCCGCCACAATGACAGCAAGCTCCTCATACTCACATTTGGATCCTCAGCACTGAGCACATTTTTATACCCGGAGTTAGCTACTGAAAATAATTAGTGAAGAAGTGTATCTCGCTGTAGATCATCTGCCAGAGAGCTGCCATGGAACCGCACGTTCAATTATTACAATTAAACATCTGCCTCCTCTTTCCTTTTGCCCAATTTCCATAATCTATCTTTATGGGTCTATGAGGATTGGCTAAAACTACCACAATCCAGCTAGTGATCAAACAGAAAAGTGTTTTCTATTTTTAAGTGCAGATTTTATTAATAAAACATTCAGCTTTGCAGTTAAGGCTTTTTTTTTGAGTGAGTGAGTGAGTCTGGCTCATTGAAGAGAGGCCTATTTGAGGTCGTCTCTGATTTCTGCTTGGGAACTATAATTTGGTTGCATTGGGCTACTTTTTTTTTTTTATTCTGGAGCCAAGTTTGCCTCATTTGTTTGGCTCTCAGCATGTTTGATCCTAAATTATTTACATCAGGAATCTGATGATAACATCTTATGCAAATGTGTGTGCCTATCAGTCAAGATAGGTTAGGTTGTGCTGTGGTAATGAACAACCACACTTATCACCACCCTGAACTCCCACAGATTAGTTTAAAGAATGTATTTCTTGTTCTCATTATACTGCAATTTCAGATCGGCTGTGTTTCTGTTTCACAAGTGACTTTGGTTACTCAAAGCGTGGGAGGCTATCTCTAGCATCTCCCACTAGAAATTAAGTGGCCAATCTCAAACATCTCTGCTCACAACTCACTGAACACCACCAGCCGTGTGGCTCCACCAGATGCCAAGAGGATACAGGAGCCCAGTCCTGCAGTTCCTCCACCACTCTGCCCATGCTGTCGAGCCGTGAGGAAGAATTTCAAAAATATATTCTAGAGTTAACGTCAATTTCTGAAGTAGCTGTGGAAGCAAAAGTAGGGGGAAATGTGACTTTCTCAAATGATCAGAGACACAATTCTTGAGTATTCCCCCCCCCCCCCCCCCCCCCCCCCCCGTCAGGGAAAGGAAAAATTACAGACAGAAATGGCATTATGTAGTTTTATGCCAAGGTGTAGAACATGCTCATTTTTTCTTTATATCTTCTTTTCCCTTATTCATTCTTTTATATCCCCCCATTTCTTTGTATGCCCAAACAAAGCCTGAAAGGGATTTGACACCCTTCACCTTGCTTATCTCTAAGGCTGATTCTCTCTTCATTCCTTTTCAAGTTGGTCCCCCCCCCCACTACCACCAATTTGCCCTTTCTTACCTTCACCTTTTGTCGGTTTGCTTCATCCTAGCACCTGGAATAAAGCTCTAACTGGGTGTCTTAGTGTCTTGTCCTGTGGCTGTGATAAAATATCCTGCTACAAGTGGAGAAAGGGTTTGTAATGGCTCACAATTCAAGGGTACAACCATCAAGGCAGGGAATTCAAGGAAGAGGGAAGGAGACAGCAGGTCATAGCATCCACAATCAGGAAACAGAAAGGATAATGAATGCGCTCAGTTAGCTCTCCCCACCCCACTCCTCTTACTGTGCATGTATAGTCATTCCTATATAAAGGCCACAGGAGTACCCTGGATGCTTTCCTCTACTTCCCTTACCAGTATTTTATGAGACAAGACCTTTTTCACTGAAATTGAAGTTTACTGTTTGGTCTAGGCTGGTGTCCAGAAAGCTCCCAGATCTGTCTCTGTTCTCCAAAATCACTGGTCTACAGACACAAATGTCTGACGTTTTATATGAGTGCTGGGGGTGATTAGAAATCAGGTCCTTTGGCTTTCACAGCAAACGCTAGCCCTTGCCTATCTTCCCATTGCCCATCACTGTGTACAGGCCAAGACCCAAGCCAAGCAAATGGTTCTGTCCACTTGTAGCTGGGTCTTCCTGCCTAAGTAATCTAACCAACAAAATCCCCCACAGGAATGCCTGCAGATTAAATAGCCCCTTACACTGTCTGTCCCCTCCTCCTTGTGCTATACATAATATGCATGCTGAGTTTCCAGGCTGTGCAGTAGGTTCACTCCACCAGAGTAGTCACCGCCTACCCTATCCTACCCCAGCTTCTCTCTATGCATCTCGGTCATTTCTTCAGCATCAGGTTATTGATAATTCCCAGTCCTATCAAGCTGACAGTTGATACTGCCCATCACAAAGCCATGCCTTGACAACTTGACAATGAACTCCATCACCTTAAACCATCACTTTTCACTCCATATCCCCAGTCGCATGAACATTCTCCTAGGGCAAGAATGTATTCAATCCAGTTTCAAATGTCCCCCTAGCCTGACAGTTCCGACAGCGTTTAAGGGCTTAAGGCCCACGTCTCAACTGAGACCCAAGATGAATCTCTTAACTGTGGGCTCATATAAAATAGAAAACAAGCTACATACTTTCAATATACAAAGAATAAATGTCAGTCTTCTGCAGGAGAAGGACTGGAGCATAGAAATGACAGGACCAAAGCAAGACCAAAAAAAAAAAAATCCAGCAGAAAAAAAATACCGAATCTCACTGTTCCATGTCTGGCATTTGGGACTCAGGAGGAAATTGTCTGATAGCTCAGGCAGCCCTGCCTCTCAGTCTCTGCAACCTGTAGCACATATAACCTCCTTCTTAAGCAAGTTTCATTCCCTGTTTGCAGCTATCCTGGACCTCAGGGGTCCAGGAATCTCTACTATCCTAGGCCCCATTGTAATTCAGACTTCACTTTCAGTTTTACACAACAGGATCTCAGGGCATCTTTGAAAGGTGTTTCAACACTGTTGTGCACTGTCTGGCTTTGATTGCTCTCTATAATTCTAGAGCAAGCCTCCATTACCCTGAATCTTGAATCTTTTGTGCCTGCAAAACCAGCATCATGTAGTCAATACCTCCCTGGACCACAGCTGTGCTGATCCCAGGGAAATACTTTCCTGGGTCTTTTCAAAGCAGGGGACCCCCTACCATTTAAGCTTTCTTCTCTCAAATGAATTTGGATCTTCATCAGGTGGAGCCTGTACTTGGTTGAATTTTGTTTTCAGGAAAGTCTTCCTATTGCTCAAGCTCAGCACAGAACGTTTCTCTTCAGTGGTCCTGATGTCTTTAACAGTTTCAGATGCTTTCTCAGCAACTTCCTCTGCTAGACAAATGAAATCCATTACGTTTAAATTTAACTCCACTTGTGCTAATCAGGATATGGCAGAACGAAACCAGATTCTTGGCTAAGATATCCCAAAGTTGGCCCTCCTACCTCCTCTCTCCTACATAGACTGGTCCTGGGAAACACACTGGGCAACTCTTGGGTGAAGAAGAGATCTGAAGCTGAAGAAAGGACCGAGACACATACAGAAAAGCTGGGGTAGGATGGGGTAAGCTGTGATTACTTTGGTGGAGGGAACCAACTATATAACTTGGAAACTCAGCATGCATATTATGTATAGCACATGGAGAAGGGACCAGTTAGTCTAAGTGAAATGTCTCTGTGGGGACCAATCTCAGTCTGTAAAGATCTGGGAGGAGGAAGCTATGGTCCATTGTTCCTACATACGATGGTCAATTGCTTTTAATACTTGGGCCAGAGGAGGACTTTACATCCCTTTGAGTCTCACTCGGGGAAGGCTTTGGCATTTCCATCTGTCTGAAGAATCAGGGTCTTTGACACAGTTGTAGTCAACTACCCACTTTCACTGAGGACTTCATCTGATGTCCGCATCTCCCAGTTCTTCACCTCTGAGATCTCATGAGACAGGCCTCCCTCGTCTGTACATCCCTCGTCTTCCAAGTTCCCATCAGAAGGGCCCACTAGTCTCTGCAGTATTCAAGGGCTTTTTCTAGCCCAAAGCTTCAAACTTGTCCACATTCATCCTATGAACCAGTTCCAAAATGCTTAAGGAAAACCCACATGGTCAGGTTTATGATAGCAGTGGTCCCAGTAGCAATTTTCTTCACTTCCTTCCCTGTGGCTGTGATTAAATACCCTGAGAAAATGAGCATGAGGAAGGAGGATGTGTCGTGGCCCACAATTCCAAAGGAAGTCAAGATGGCAGGTTCCTGAAGCAGCTGCTCACACCACATCCCTTATCAG